GCACTTTCTCTTGATTATGAGCGCCTGGTACACATTTGAGGACACGTGACGTAATTTCTGTAGCTCATCAACTTCGTTCGACAGTGTCAATAATGGAGACTGCGCCAAACTTCGATCAACAATAGTAACTAGATAAAGGGACACGTACAAAATCGAAGCAAAAACTGTCCGCGTGAATATACACATACATAGCTACGTTGGTTTACAACAAACGGAGAAAAAAGTTTTGAAACAGTTTTAAGTTCAAACTAATTACAACTATGCCACCTAGTAATAAAGTTCCAAATCTCCAAAACATTATTTAATACTTACGATCNAAAAAAAAAAAAAAAAAAAAATAAGATATCTTACGTCTGACAGTTTTAAACCACTTAAGAATAATTCTAGTACTTTGGATCCGTTTTCCCTTTGCCACCACACGAAAGTCGCCATTTTTCAAATAACAATCCGTTTGATGAGAAGCATTCTCGACTGTTACATTTTATTAGTAAATTGTAGAAAATGTACTCTGTGTTGTTATTCGCGTTTAACTAATCTGTACTGTAAAGTTAAGATGAAAAATGCTTTTTCTTTGTTCGGGACTAAACTTGTCATTCAGTTTTCCCTAGACCCATCTCGTATTATTAATGTAAATCACGTCTGTCCGTTGCCTTGAAAAAAAAGATAAACATTTTCGCCATCGAAATTTTATAATAATCTCTACAATTTAAAGATTAGTTTCGATTCAACAAGCTAAATTAATTATCACATCGATTAACTCACACAAAGATCTTGAATATTTATAGCACATCTTAGAAATTACACTTTTATTCGACAACCAAAAAGAATTTAACTAACAATTCGTTTTGATCCAAATTAATTCAAAACTGGCAACACCGACCAACTAATTACAAATGGCTGTTCAAGTCATAAATAACATAGAATGACATTAATTAAATATTTAACCGTTGAAATAACTAGTAAATATATTTTGTGTGTGTATTATAAGTCATTAAACACGCCACGAACGTAATTCCTTTGGGCACACAAAGAAACCTTTGAGAAATCGGTTTTACAAATCAGTACGAACCAGCGCGGCGAAAGCCACGCCCGCCCTACGTAAATGGCGCGAAAAAGACCACAATTTTATTTATCAAAAGTGTTTTAAACATTAAAACACTTCACGATTTGATACAGCGGTGTATCTATTTATTTCATATTTTCCGAAACTTATCTACTCTTTTCTTGTGTAGACATCTCAACATTTACTCAAACATGAACAAACATATAGTTTTGCGATTTTAATACACTTCAAACGCTCAAAACACATTTTACTCTTATATTTGTTTATTTAATACGCATATAGTGCTGTTTGATATTAATTTGTAGAGTGATCTCTAATATGATACAGAATAGGACTGTGTTTATATTACCAAACGAACTGCTACCGAAGAGATATGGCAACGATTGCGGGTAAATATTGCATCCAGTGCTTTTAATTGTAAATTCCAAATGCATAGCAACAAAGACACCAAGACCAGTACATCCGCACCTACTTTGAATAAGTTTAACATCTTCAACAAAGCAACCGCTTTAGATCGGAAATCAAACACGGAATCCGCGATATACTCAGGATCTACAACGTATTTGACTGTAAATAAAACTGCTATTTTCGTTAACAATATCCGATACGGTCCGAATACAGAACAGTTTCCGTGGTAGCCTTTTGTGTCGGTTTTTGAATCAAATAGTTTCGATACATGTGCCCCTGTAAATTGTAACTTAATTGGTAATTAGTGTAAAATAACCACAACAGCTCATTAGCTCCAAAGACGTAACTGGATGTCACTATTTTTATACATGATTATTTGCTTGTATATACCCCCCACAGACACAGCCCACTGAGTTTCTCGACGGATCTTCGTCGCGTTTCCGATCCGGTGGTAGATATTGCGAAGCACTGCTCTTGCTAGGGCCAGTGTTAGCTTCACTCCAGTTTGAGACCCGTGAGCTCACCTACTAGTTAAGGTTACGCTGAAATAGCCTCTCAAGACTATCAGCTTAGGTAGGATAAAAAAAAGTATATACACCCTGTATTGGGCAGGTACTTCTGTCATGTCTATTTTTGCCACCAAACAGTCACGCGTATCGGTTCGAAGGATGAGACAGCCTAGAACACAATTGACACTATGACTTGATCTCTAAGCTCAGCGGCGATACTCGCGTTGTGATATGGCCTTCAACTACTTAACACAGGATGAACTAGTTCATTTATCGATGCACCAAAAGGTCTCAATAATAATGACTGACTCTCTTTCGAACGCTGAAAGCATTAACTGGTCGTGATAGTAGTAAGAGAAACTTTCTGCGGTATTCTTTCTTTCTTGCCTTGATTGCAGGGGACCTGTTCTTCAGAAACTTACTTAACCTGTACTGACGTATGCTTGGCGTCAAGGCACCACTAATTAGGGCAAGGTCAAAAGCCCTAATTCCGTGTTTACAATCATAGATTTAGAATATAACGCAAATTGAGTTTCAGAACAAGCTCGCGGTACGGTGTAAGACAGAATCTCAATGCAATACTTTCAACCTCATATGCATTAATGCGAATTGGTCATGACATTGAATCCGGAACGAGGTGATCCCACAGAGACTCAAAGTTATCGACATAGCACAGCGGATCAGTAAGCTGAAGTGGCAATGGGCTGACCATATTAGCCAGAAAACTGATAACCGTTGGAGTAAACATGTTCTTGAGTGGAGACCTGGTTCTACTTGTGGTAGGACCTCTTGTGAGTCCGCCCGGGTAGGTACCACCACTCCGCCTATTTCTGTCGTGAAGCAGTAATGTGTTTCGGTTTGAAGGGCGGGGCAGCCGTTAGAACTATACTTGAGACCTTAGAACTTAGAACTTAGACCTTAGAACTGGGTGGTGTATTTACGTTGTAGATGTCTTAGGGCTTCAGTAACCACTTAACATCAGGTGAGCTGTGAGATCGTTCACCCATACCCATATCTTATGAAAGTAAAGCAGAGTGCATACAGCCAAATGATTCATGGAAAAAAATCACTCTAGAGCATTGGTCCTAGGTAATAAAACACGTTAAGGCGGTAGAATAGTTATTGCAATTGGCAAAACGCTCTCAAACCAATCCCCAGAGTACAGTACCCGGCGATAAATATTGCACATCGACCGCGGGCAAGAGACAGTTAATTTTTGCTTCGTAGAGCGTTATATCTGTCGCACATTACCTAATTGAGATTTAGTCTCCTTAAAGATAGCGGATCGTTAGTGTTTCGTCGCACACAGGTAACGCTCTATAAAAAAGTCGTGGCTTAAAGGATAAGACGTCCTTAGAACTTATATCTCAACGTGGGTGGCGCGTTTACGTTGTAGATGTCTATCGGCTCCACTAAGCACTTAACACCAGGTGGGCTGTGAGCTCGTCCACCCATCTAAGCAATAAAAAAAACAAAGACAAAATTAGACGACTATCTCTTTCTAAATATCGATGTTCCATAATTATTGCCTGGTACTGTAACCATGTGCGTCTTTTGGGTAATACAATGATGATGACTTCTAAAATACTTTCTAGGTACCCTGGCAAGTCGACGTTGCTCAGGTAACAGTGTGTTCTTCGTGATCGCATGACTGTGTGTTTTAATAAAATTTATAAATATAGAAATGAACCAAACACGCGACCTGTTTGTGTGTGTGTGTGTGTGATTAATTATAATTGTCGAATTAAGTTTTGTGTTGGTAAATTTAAAGCATGTGTATACACTTGGAGCTTTGCACGTATGTGTGTCTGTCTTTTGTTGTAGTTGTGTCAGTTGAGTATGATTACAATGTAGCTTGCAATTTAAAGAAAACTAGATGATGACCGAGCTTTCCTTTTTTTTTTTATAACGCCATCTTGTTGTGTCTTTAAAGCGGTTAGTATAGTATTATTAGTCGCCAATAGATGTCGGGAAGAGTTGATTATTGAAAACACGAATAAAACAACATTTTCTGAAAATAAATCGTAGCTAGATCGATTTATCGCCCCCGAAATCCCGTGTATACTAAATTTTATGAAAATCGTTGGAGCCGTTTCTGAGATTCAGATTATATATATATTAATAATAATATACAAGATTGCTCGTTTAAAGGTATAAGATATATTTTTCCGTCTGAAACACTGCGACTGTGATTTTGTGTCATATTTTTGAGCGTCAGTGAAACGAATCTGAAATTCCTGACATTGTCTGTTTAATGTTTGTGCTAAAATATAAAGAATAACTTATGTACTTTTTCAATACTCGGTGTTTTGATATGGTGCATGATGTGAAATAAAATTTGTTAAGTATTTTAATAACAAAATGTGAATTCGTATTTAAATGAAGTGCCCTATGATGAATATCGTTTGAAAAAAGTCAATTATAATAGAACAATTCTCTTTTTATTTTTATTGCTTAGATGGGTGGACGAGGTCACAGCCCACCTGTTGTTAAGTGGTTACTGGAGCCCATAGACATCTACGACGTAAGCGCCACCCACCTTGAGATATAAGTTCTAAGGTCTCAAGTATAGTTACAATAGCTGCCCCACCCTTCAAACCGAAACGCATTACTGCTTCACGGCAGAAATAGGCGGGGTGGTGGTGGTACCCGCGCGGACTCACAAGAAAGGACAGACAGGAATGGCGCAGATAATGCAGGAGAAAGTTATTAGAGGAGGCCACGACCCTCAGCACTGAGGATTATCGACGCAAGGAGGAGGAGGACGTTTTGACTACTATTAACAAAATTAATACATAATTTTATCTTACTCTAAAAAACAGATAATGTAACTGGTAAAAAATAAAAATAAATGTTGCAAAGATGATTAATATTAAAAATATCACATGTTAAACCTTTAAAACACTCTCCTGTAAAATTAGTAAGTTTTGAGATTATACAGTTTTAATGCTAGTAGACGAATTGTATCAATATCTATTGATTAAGTTTAATTTCTAATTCCCTGACCGTTCTATTTCTAGATTTCCTCAAAGCGTTAGCACAACGCCCATACCGCCGGCCAGGACTCGAAGAGAATCGAAAAAACAAGAAACGAACCTCGAACCCGCAATACCAAGCGACGAACATCCAAAACCGCCGAACTTATGCGAAAGAATCATGGGGAAATGCAAATCTAAATATTGCCCGTGCTGCGTCAAAGGACCGAAAGAAAATGACGATAAAATACAAGAAGAAAGTCTAACGCGAGAAAATTTAGAGGCGTCGAAAGACAATGAGAGCGTAATGAAAGAAGACCGGCAGAAGGAAATATCCGAAACTTTGCACGGAAAGAAAATGGGGTTGATGGAAAAACTTAACTGTTGCAAGAAAAAAGAAAAAGAAGAAATAATGAGAGACGTTGAAACGGCAACAGGAAAGGTATTTATTTCTTACCTTTTCATGAATTTAAATAAAATTTGCACCAAGTCTCAATTCGTGAAAACAGTTATCAAGGCTTTAATAAACAAGGATTTCACATGACCATGACTATTCTGCCAAGAGTTACCGACTATGATGAGTACGTTCCAATTGGTTATTTTTTTGCCGTAAATAGGCAAACGGGTTCACGGACCGCCTGGTATGAACTGGCTACCGTAGTCTGTAAGCATCTAAATGTGAATACTGCCACTCATTCTGAGTCTCAATCTCATTTATATTCGGTTACGGCTCTCTAACTCTTCTATCTATCTCTTAGGTTTATGGCGTTTCCTTTTAGATTTCGCCAATGTCAAGTGTATCTCTAACTCTTCACACCTCTAGAGAGGATAAAGGAAGTTGGCCGTGAAGGGTAATCACAAAATAACATAGTTTTTGTTGATTTATCTATATTAATATTATAAAGCCGAAGAGTTTGTTTGTTTCTTTGAACGCGCTATTCTCAGGAACTACTTACTGGTCCGATTATCTAGGCTAGGCTATAAAACATCACGGTAAGACCAATACAAGTGGAGCACCAATAAAGAATCTTTCAAAATAGGGGCATAAATAGCTCCTTAACATTCTATAATTAAAAAATATTTTCTCTTTCTACGTAAATGAAGTGGGGGGTAAAATTTAGCGTTATGCCAAAGTAACTATTCCAGGCAGACGGAGTCGCGGAAAAAAGTAAGTTATTAATAAAACAAAATACTCTCCACCTTTAGGCCTCAGTCGAATTCGAGGACGAAGTGAAACGCAAAAGGAAATTCCGCGACATAATCTGTTGCGGTCGCAATCAGCGTGTCAGCGACATGTCACCGAGAAACATTGCCATGTCAACGGCAAATGTTGCCATGTCGCCGGCTAACGCTGCCTTGACTCCCGCCGTTGCCGACGACACTGGATGCTGTGGGAGAAGAAAAAGCCAAGTGGACAGAAGAGACAGTATATTGAGTGATAGGACACATACGAGGTGAGAAGTCATTAGCACCGGCTAGCCTGTTAGCAGGGTTCAAGTCTTGCAGGGTTAGATGGCCGTTGTCTAATACGAATTAGCTTAGAATTTCAAGTGTGGGCGGCATTTATGTTGTGACGCTAGTAGGCTCCAGTATCTGCTGAAAATCATGTTGTGACGTCAGTAGTGGAGCCTACTCGTATCTGCTGAAAAGCTCGCTGGAGAGCTCGACTTCTTCTTGCCTCCATCCCACTATATGGGGTCGGCGCTGGTAAACGTTATCCATTCAATCCTATCATACGTCATCCCTGCATTCGCACCTTTTTCAGGCATATCCTATTTCACATAGTCCATCAAAGTTTTTTTAGGACGCACACTCCTCGCAGGTGGGATCTGAACTCCTGCGGTTTATCATTAAGACAGGATACCAAACTACATTTATATCGCTCCTCCCGCCACCGGAGCATAGTTCATCCATATTATCTGGAACCGCTGCGTTCATCGACAGTGCGTTTCCAGAGGTCTTTTTTGGCACGTACCATCCGGCTATAGAATGAGCTCCCCTCCACGGTATTTCCAGAGCGCTATGACATGTCCTTCTTCAAACGAGGCTTGTGGAGAGTATTAAGCGGTAGACAGCGGCTTGGCTCTGCCCCTGGCATTGCTGAAGTCCAAGGGCGACGGTAGCCACACACGGTAGTTCTATGGTCTCAGTATAGTTACAACGACTGCCCCACCCTTCAAGCCAAAACGCATTACTTCTTCGCGGCAGAAATAGGCGGGGTTGTGGTACCTACCGGTGCAGACTAACAAGACGTCCTACCACCATTCATTTGTTGCCGGCCTCCTTTCGCACTACCTTCGTGCTTAGTGCGGCTTTTTTAACGTTCTCCATAGCGTAAAAGTTAGCTCATATTTGTATGGAATGGGATCGTTAGCCGTTAGGGGCGCTGTTCTAACTGCATACAAAATTGGGTTAACTTTTACGCTATCGAGAACGTTAAGAAACTCGCACTAAGCACACTGGTATGTGAGCGTCCCACATGGTCACGCCAGTATATCAATGATGTGAGGTTTTGTGGAAGATGAAGTGAGGAGGAGGCGTGTGCGTTGGTTATTTGTTGCGTGTTGTCCTCCGTAAACCTCATCGGAGCGGTCAATAAAACACTACGTATAATTACATGTTAACCACTGACTGACTACCGTATGTTGCTCGTTACTATATGAGGCCTATAAAATCAAAGGCCTTAATGTCGTAAAATTGATTAACAATGGCGCTATCTTGTTTAGTTAGTTGGACACGCTTTAGTGTTTTCATGTTATAACAAATGCAGCTTAATCTCTAACAAATTCAGTTCAAAAATTTTATTTTTACTCCGTACTAAGTACTAATAAACGAAGATTTATCATTTAAAATTCAGATTATTAGTAATATTCTCATTCTTTATGCATCTGCTTTAACAAAGTTATTTCAGCTTCTCAAGCCGGGAGTGTTTCTAACACTTGTCCTAGCAAGAGCAGTACGTCTATGGATCGGGAGGATCCGTAATGACGTGCTTAGGGCCGATTTTTGTAGTTTACCTGAATATTTGACAGACTTGGATTTAGCTGCCTTTGATTTTATAGGCTTCATATATGCACAGTAAGCTAAGCGGGGCGGGGTATCATTCCCCTACAATGACAATAAAGATTACGTCTGTCATCAGCTGCTGCAACAACCGCTTCGGGTCGTGGCTCCGCGGCGTGTGCCGTCGACAGTCCGAGCACTCCTCCAGCAGAAGGACGAGCGAGTTCTCTAAAAACAAAAGTCTCTCACCAACTTTACCGCCCGAGGTTAGTTTGTCTAAATTCTAAACGACTATACGACGAATATAACACTAAAGTATTTGCTCATTTTAGCGGTAGGCAGCGGCTTGGCTCTGCTCCTGGCATTGCTGAAGTCCATGGGCGACACTCACCATCAGGTGGGCAGTATGCTCGTCTACCTACAAGGGCAACAAAAAAAATGCTTTACTGTTTTTTCATGAAATATTTAAACTGTTTTCTTAGTATATAGTGACTGTTTATTAATGACATATTTGTTGTTTATACAATAATGACTCTAAAGCCTTCGTCAAACAGAACGCGTACTTAACGCCGCGTACTTAACGTCGCGCTCTTTTCATGTCACACCTGAGTCTAACGCTCCTTGACGCAACGCATTCGCCAAATCATAGTGCCTTTCGATAGCAGTGTGAAAATTTAAAAGTATTAAGAAATCGAGTGATTCAGATGTGGCATTGTATAAGCATGGGTATTTTTTAACTATTTATATCATTTTTCGGGCATTATTTAGTATTTTAATACACATTCACTCGGACGCTAAAATAAAATTTGTAAAAAATTACAACGCCTGACGTCAAAGCGTCCTAACGCCGCAACAGAGCGCTGCGTACTTATAGCGCTGGGGCTCTGTTTGACGGTATGTTATCATAGTATTACAACACATCTCGGCGTCATAGCGCGGCGTCAGTTCAGCGCTCTGACGCGCGCTAATTACGCGTTCTGTTTGACGAAGGCTTAAGAGTCACGTTACAAGAAAAACGTGCAACTCGACCTTCGGATCTGACCATCAATGAGCGAGTGGCCAGTGAACACGCGACTGACTCACGACCCAAGGACTCGATGCGAACTTATTCTGTAATTACGGACCAATTTTCTTTCAATTTTTGTGCTTTTCAAATGAATTAATAATGACTGAGTTTTCGGGGAAATTCGGTGATTTGCGTCGTTTTTAAAGTTTGTAGAGCATTTGTTTTGTGTGTTTAATTTTTTTTTTACGGAGGAAATGGTAATCAAATGAATGATAAGCGCCTCACATATCGTTCTTTTTTTTTGTTGCTTAGATGTGTGGACGAGCTCACAGGCCAACTGGTGTTAAGTGGTTACTGGAACCCATAGACATCTACAACGTAAATGCGCCACACACCTCTAGATATAAGTTCTAAGGTCTCAGTACAAGGGCTGCCCCACCCTTCAAACCGAAACGCATTACTGCTTTACGGCAGAAATAGGCGGGGCGGTGGTACCTACCCGTGCGGACTCACAAAAGGTCCTACCACCAGTTCGATTCGTAAAATGTATTTTTTCTAATACAATGGTTCGTTAAGTCAATTATTTTAGAACGCAGTTTCTTAATGCGGCCTGCGGTAGGATTTGGCAGGTATAAATCGTCACGTAACAAAAAAGCGTTATCCCCCTCCATGTGATTTTCTCCTTCCTTCTCTGTATCTTTGTATTACATACAAGTGAGCCATAATCTGGCAATGAGCCTGGTGCGTGGACCGTACTACAACCTGAATATTAAATTTGGCATTTTTAAATAATCTATAATTCACTGTTACTCATCACAGTAATAATAAACAAAACTTTATGACTAAGGACACGCTTTTAAAAACAAGGGTTCCCCATCAGCACTAGTGTTTTTTTTTTAATACAAGACTAATTTCTTTTTATTGAATTGCTGCGTGGACGAGCTCACAGCCTGCCTGGTGTTAAATGGTTACTGAGGCCTATAGACATCTATAACGTAAATGCCGCCACCCACCTTGAGATGTGAGTTCTAAGATCTCAGTATAGTTACAACGGCTGCCCCACCCTTTAAACCGAAACGCATTACTGCTTCACGGCAGAAATAGGCAGGGTGGTGGTACCTACCCGTGCGGACTCACAAGGGGTCCATTTGGTAAGACGTTGTACTGATACCGAATGATGCAATTATGCCTAGGCTGAAATGATACACTGATCTAAGTAATTACGTAATGCTTAGAAACTGACTTCACGACGAAGGAATTAAAATCATATCGTATATTAAAAATAAAACCGACTATTTTTTTTTTTTTTTTATTGCCTTTGTATGCAGACGAGCATACGGCCCACCTGATGGTGAGTGGTAACCGTCGCCCATGGACTTCAGCAATGCCAGGGGCAGAGCCAAGCCGCTGCCTACAATTCTAGACTAAAATTACATATTTCTGTAATAACTAACGTAGGTCTTTATTGACAGTGTATATACGTATACTTTCTCCCTCTTACTGCGGCTAGGAAGCTATGAATAGGGCTGAAGGGTAGAATAGCCGAAGATATAAGCTTTCCTGTGTTTTTGAAGTGAAACTTCTTTAGGCGCATGAGGGTAAAATTTTTACAGATGTAACGTCACGCATGTATGCAACGGAAATGTCGAAAATTTTTAATACAGCGCCATCTATGAGATTTTTTAATACTAACGTGCGTATGAAACCTCTTGTAGTGAATTTAAATTTAGGATTATACGTGACGTTAAAATATCGATTCACAGAGGGCGCTACCTCATACTATAAAAGATGATTTACAATTATTTACTAATGACAAAATTTTACATATTGACATTTAGGATTGTATTTTAATTTTTGAAGGTTTCACTTCTAACACGTGTGAATTGCACACATGTTTCTTTTTTTTTGCAATAAACGAATCTAATGTTATTGACACAGTTACTAATACACAACCAAAATATTGGATTCAAAACATAATGTACTAACAGACAAATACAACAGACTTAAGGTCAAGTCGTCATTACATTAGCCGAACAATCAGTCAAATGTTATTATTTATACGATGAAATTCAATCAGTGTTATTTTCACACGCGTAATAAACGGGTCGAAAAAGTTCCATCGAAGGCTTTATAAATTAGTTTTGTGATCGAAAAATACATAAAATAAAATAAATAATCATGTATTTTATTCAAGAAATTTTATGAAATGTGTTTTGTAATCATATCCAATAAATTAAAAAGTATTTGACTTTTATAAATTTACAGCATCACATCAGAAGTTTGAGTAAATTGAAATTCAAATCTGTGTTATTTACTATCAACAGTGTAATTGATCGGGTTTTAGTTTATAACTAGAAGAAAATACTTCTGTTTTTGTGAAGAAGTTACTTACCTGTTATAATATAATTTGTTTCTAATTTAAAAGATTTTTAATCGTTTCAAAAGTCGTAAAGAAATACTTAAATAATTTAAGTATTTGTGACTACAATTGTTTATTTACACATAAATCCAAATTTAAGTGATATAATATTATAACGATTATGTCCACTGCCGATTTTCTAACACCAATGCCCTCGCCACGTCCTCGGAAATCTAAAATAATGCTATCAACCGAATTCATGAAACGAGACATCGATATTGAAGAAGTCGAAATAGAGGTAGGTAGGGCAAAAACTCACATAAAAATTGCAAAAAATGCGAATCGCTGTGACATTTCTACATTCAAAACAAGTACCAGGACTTTATAAATTCAAGGAAGTTACGTATTACGTATGGTTTTCTGTACAAGAAGGAAATTATGTAAGGAAATCGTGTGTACATCGATATTGTGGCTAATGACAACCTTGCCTTCGATAAGAATCCAAAGTTAAAATCATCGAAATAAATTTATTATTTAACTGTTTTTTCGTGATATGCAACTCGCGCGATTTTTGTCATATTATTTGAAAGTGAAAGTGCTGTGTAGATTACTGGTATAATACAGCCAACGTATGATAGATGGCGCTGTAGATCTCTCAACTAATAACTCTATTTATTATTTAGCGATAGATTCCCTGTTATACAGTCGCGATTTACGTACGACATACAATGTACATGACATACAAATAAGGCTTCAGGTGTATTCGAGCATGATACGTTTTGTGACAACAGCTAAAATTGTAATATGAACTTCATTTTTGCCAATGCAGGTAGGTATAAGTAGATACAGTACGCATTGCATGTTGCTTTGCTAAATAAAATCTAATTTAGTATCAAATTAAAATAAACTGAAAATTTCCTTAGTAAAATTTCTTATAATATCTATATGAATGCTTTATACGAGACGCCTACTAAAAATTTCAACAAGTATGTAAGAGTTAAGAAGACAATACAAGTAAGTAGTTTAATTATTATTATCTGGAGGAGCGGAACCGGAATCCGGTTATTTGCCTATGGGGACACCAGGACTTCATAAATGCAAGGAGCTAGCGGGGAGCCCGCTAGTTTTCTGTAGAGAGAAATATTCGTTCATAGATGGCAGGAGTAGCAACATTTTTCCATTTGTTTTTTTTAAATTGCTTTAGTGAGATAATTTTGGAGAAATTAAATAGCATATGTTCTGAATATTTTCATACTACAGCGAGATCCTTGAAACAATATTAAACAAATTTTACTAATACGCAAAGGCCAATATGAGCCACAAGGCTGCACTTTCTCTTGATTATGAGCGCCTGGTACACATTTGAGGACACGTGACGTAATTTTTGTAGCTCATGAACTTCGTTCGCAATAATGGAGACTGCGCCAAACCAACTAAGCACTTACTACTACTCGTACTAACACTACCAAAATTCCTAAATATTTTGTTTATGATTTCTTCATAATCCACTTCGCAGAACATTCTCGAGTTTTTGACAAATCAACCTAAAATCAAGCCATTTCAAGCAAAAAACGTGTTTTATATTTAGCGGATAGCATTCGGGTTTCAATGAGTTTATTCACTTAGAATTTTGACTATTCTATATATTGGAGGAAGCTGGTGCAAAAACTGGACCAAAGTGGTCACGACCCTCAGTAATGAGGAAGCGATGAAGGAGAGAGATATACATTACGGGGTGACAAGTGAAACGTCTAGTTCAGCAAATGGCGACGAATACAACGTTTATATTAAGTTCACGTCTTCTAAATGCTATTGAATTGTTCTGATTTTCAAACAGGATACCCGAAAGAAACTGGACACTTCTTTGGTTGAGCACACGAGTGTGATGCGTGGAGCTATCCCGATTCTGCCTATAGCTCTGGCATACTTCTGTTTGCTGTTCAACATAATCGTTCCCGGCCTTGGTGAGTCTTGTTCATCTATCTAACTGTAGGGACCACAAATGTCCCCATAGCAACTAATCTATATATTAATACGTGAAGCAAAAACTTTGTACCCCTTTTTACGAAAATTGCGCGGACGAAGCAGTATGAAATTTCCCACACTTATAGAGAATATAGAGGAGAAGTGCAGAATGCTCATATTTTATAAAAATTATGCATAAAAAATACAATAAATCAATAAAAAGAACATTACACACACTACCATGTATTTGAAACACACACGCATGCATACTATTTCTTTACTGTCAAACTTTTCTTATTGCTTATAGTCTGTGGTCAAATTGAGAATAGATTTAATATTGTTTGTCTTTATTAATATTTGCCTAAAGTGTAGTCTTGGCGAAATCTGTGATAATATAATTTGACAATAGAATCATAATAATGTTCAAACTTATAATTTCAATTAATTATAGTCGAACCACTAGTAATTATAATTATGTATGTGTTAGCGGTAATTATATTGCAATGATGCTACGTCAGTGTCGGGATTTTTGAGCTGTCGATAGCACGTTAGGTTGTAATCCCAATATACATTACACACTTAACTGAACACGTGTCTTATTAATCCATGACCGATATAGAGACTCAACTTAACCTTTGAAGGCATACGAGGACTGCTCCTTATTAGTGCTGAAAAGAAATATTTTGTTAAAATTAAAATCGTCGTAAAGGATAAGTAAGACGTCCGGTGCATTCGTGTTGAGCGATGCAACGGTGTTCGAATCCCGCAGGCGGGTACCAATTTTTCTAATGAAATACGTACTCAACAAATGTTCACGATTGACTTCCACGGTGAAGGAATAACAACAACAATTTGCGTAATTACTGGTGGTAGGACCTCTTGTAAGTCCGCGCGGGTGGGTACCACCACCCTGCCTATTTCTGCCGTGAAGCAGCAATGCGTTTCGGTTTGAAGGGTGGGGCAGCCGTTGAAATTATAGAACTTAGAATTTATATCTCAAGGTGGGTGGCGCATTTAAGTTATAGATGTCTATGGGCTCCAGTGACCACTTAACACCAGGGGGCTGTGAGCTTGTCTACCCATCTAAGCAATAAATAAATAAAAACAGGATTTCAAATGTTGTATTTACTCTCATCTCTTCGTGTTCCAGGGACGATCTGTAGCGGATTGTTCTGTCTCTGCTTCGGCATACCGAGGTTTGGAGTCCACGACGGAGCCAGACACAGAATAGGTGAGTCAACGAACATTTTTATTAATGCTGAATTTGTTTCGTTAATAAGGATTTATGTTATACTAGGTATACTACGTAATGTTAACTGTGTTCTTCGCTTTTTTTTTCAAACAAATCTGTTCTATTTTATATATTTATTCATTTAATTCGATGTACTAAAAATTTGGTTGAAATCTGGTTATGTAATTAAAACACTAAATGTTACCAGGTTATAAAAAAAGGAAACAAAAGACAAACGGTTGACAACATTGGAGAAATTAAGACTTAACCGTTTTGCCTTCACTTTTAATAACATATTCATGTATAATAAATAGTTCTGTAATATCAATTTTGTCTAGTAGTGACTTAGGGTTTACTGTTTAGGTTTAGGGTTTGGGTTTAGGGTTAGTTAGTTGTGTTGCCTAACCGGTTCTTATCCAGAAGAGTTCACATTCAATAAGTATGTTGCATGTCATCCAAATTACTGGTGGTAGGACCTCGTGTGAGTCTACACGGGTAGGTACACGGGTAGGGTGGTGACCCTGCCTATTTCTGCCGTGAAGCAGTAATGCGTTTCGGTTTGAAGGGCAGCCGTTGTTACTATACTTGAGACCTTAGAACTTATATCTCAAGGTGGGTGACGCATTTACGTTGTAGATGTCTACGGGCTCCAGTAACCACTTCACACCAGGTGGGCTGTGAGCACGTCCACCCATCTAAGCAATAAAAATAAAATATGTTTATGTTCTTCGATAAGTACACAACTGATCTACACAATACGTCTGCCGGCCAATTAAAATGACCGATCATGTTTCCTACAATACCTTGATTGTTTCAGGGTCATTCGTGATCAACCTGCTCGTTGGTTGTGGTCAACTGTTCACGGTTCTCTTCTGCTTGGTCGGTTGGGGCTGGTCTATATGGTGGGGTGTCATTATGCTGAAGATTTCACGTGAGTTTAAAGTTTATTGAATAATTTAGCCTTAGATTATTCACTAAAAAGGTATTATGTTAGTATTTTCTTCGGTTTTCGCAAGTAAGAAATATATTTAAAACTATTTTTACTGTTTATTCTGACGTTTTTATTATTAAATAAATAACGGGGAACAAATCACGCACCGTCATTTGGCCCCAAATTAGGATTCCGTGTGTTATGGGTACCAAAGACTGACACAGACAAAGAGCAAAAAAACCTGTTCAGCAACAATGTTTGCCCAGAATCAAAGCCGCGACCCCCGGCGCAACTAACTGAATCAGTCAGTCAGAGATTAAACTTTAAAATTAGTTTTAAATAAATAGCAAACTTTGATTTTGATTTCCTAACGTAATAATTTGCGTAATGACTGTTGGTAGGACCTCTTGTGAGTTCGCGCGGGTAGGTACCACCACTGTGCCTATTTCTGCCGTAAAGTAGTAATGCGTTTCGGTTTGAAGGGTGGAGCAGCCGTTGGAATTATACTTGAGACCTTAGGACTTATATCTCAAGGTGGGTGGTGCATTTACCACCACTTAACACAAGTCCAATGCGCTGGTCGGACCAGATACGCTCCACTCTCAATACTTCAGTCCACGTTGCTATCCACACAGCCGAGGACAGGCAGGAATGGTGCAAGATAATACAGGAGAAAGTTATTAGAGGAGGCCACGACCCTTAACACTGAGGATTATCGACACAAGAAGGAGGAACACCAGGCGGGCTGTGAGCTCGTCCACCCATCTACTAATAGCGTTCACATTGACTTTACTAGACAATATTCTAATTACAGGGAAATACCGCAAATTAAGAGCTGAGGCAGCAGCACAAGAGGCTGAAGCTCCTCCCATCACAGCCAACAATCACACGCGACCGTAATGTCAGATTGACAGCTCTCATCTGTCAAATAATGGCGCGAACACTATTATAACCTGTAACATAATTATCAGCGGAACACTCCAATGTTATCTAAACTAAATAGATTATAATAATTTGGATGTTTTGAAAAAAAGATTTCGAGCTCTTTAGTAGCGGAGCTAACGGAACGTAAGCAGAAGTCATGACGAACTAACAAATAAAGTTATTCAGCGGGAACAGTAATATTTCCTTCAATTTGTTGGTATAAATGTGTTAGTGCGAAATTTCTAAGAAATTTACAATTGTACATTGGCAACACAGTGAGTTTCAGTAAGCCGTCTAAAGCATAATAATTCCTGACAAAATACATATTATGATTAAAATGTAAATTAACATTAATCACGTTAACAGTACTATAAAATTACTATAAATAATATTTAAAAAAAAAAACTTTTTTCGGTGCTAAACAATCGTTTGAAATAAAAAGGCCCCACACTAAAAAAATATAAATTCTAAAATTAGAGTTTAATTGTAATATAGCATAGGTACCTACTTAATTTAGAATTAAATATTATTTGAAAAAAATATAATATTAAAAATAAAATAATTGGATTTATTCTCGACAGATATTAAAAAAGAAATTACATATTTATAATGCAAATATATCTACAATATATTATAATGAATCTGCTGGTCAGATAAAATCCATGGAGAGTTGCCATGGTAGAAAATTTACTTCCATTTAATAAGCTTTTCGACCATTTTAAGGTCACTTTTTTCTCTTTAGTAGATCAATTGTTACTAATGTTATTAATAATACCCCAAAGTGCTTCGAACAAAACATATTATTTTTGATGCAAAATGAAGGATCCGCTTAAGCTTAAAGAAGCAAAAGGTTTTTGCATTATGAGTATAATAAAAATAAGCATATAATAATATGCGATGTCTGTCTATATACGAATATGTACATATCCTATGAATCACGAGAAAATAACACACGTTTAGTTTGAAGGACGGGTCCACTTATATACAAAAGAGATTCGACCTCAAGCCTCAAGGCGAGGAGCTGCATTCATGCTGTTAATGTCTATAAGCAATCACTTGGAGCCCTGCCAGCTGTGAGCTCTTCCACCCATCACAAACAAGATGTACACCAAAATAGCTAAAAAAACGTACTACACTGGCTAAATATTTATACAAGGATTTTGTTTTTAATTGAACTATATTTTACAGAAAAATGGTCAACGCCGACCGTAAATACAAAATTTTATTTAATGATTATTAATTATTTTTAGGAAATTAAAAGAATGGGGAAAATAATTCATATCTATTTAAGTGTTATTTTGTTTTTATTCGTTACAAAATAGCTCTAATTATTGCAAAGCAGCTTTGACAAAATAATTAAAATTAAAATAAACATTACGCAATCCCCAAGTCGGACCTTCTCAGCAAAATAATATTTATACGAATTCTCATTTTGCATTAAAAGAAACTAACTTTTAAGATAATTTTGTATATGACCAAAATAACTAATTAATACCTAAGATTAACTTTATTGAAAATTATAATAAATAATATTACCATAGTATTTGATATTATATAAATGATAATATTTTGTTGTCTTATTTCCCTTCGTAGTAACTGCTACATCCAATGGCTTCGAGAAACGTACTTATCAAGTACAGTAGAAACTAATAGCCCATCCACTGGAACCTCTGGGTCTGCGGAGGGACTTCGGTTCCCTCTGTATTTTGTACCGTATGTTCCATGGGGAATGCTCTGAGGAATTTTTTGAGATGATCCCTTCATTTCCTTTTTATCATCGCACCTCCCGCCATCGGAGCAGAGCTCGTCCATATTATCTGGGACCGCTGCGTTCATCGACAGAGCGTTTCCAGAGGTCTTTTTTGCCACGTACCATCCGGCTATGGAATGAGCTCCACGGTGTTTCCCGAGCGCTATGACTTGTCCTTCTTCAAAAGAGGCTTGTGGAGAGTATTAAGCGGTAGGCAGCGGCTTGGCTCTGCCCCTGGCATTGCTGAAGTCCATGGACGACGGTAACCACTCACCATCAGGTGGGCCGTATGCTCTACAAGGGCAATAATAAAAAAAATATTCAAACACTGTCTACAACAATTTCTTTATCAACAACTACTGCTTCATGGAGGAAATGCGAGAAGTCAAGTTGTTGAAACATGAAATAATCTGGGCTTATTAACAGTTTGGCTTCTGTGAAAATGCACAAGTATGGTTAAAATGAATCGTACGAAGAAAAAAAATGACAAATAAACACAATGATCCAATAACAGTGCTTTTAGGTGCCTCAAGCACCGGTCACCGTCCTCGCCGAACCCGTCGCTTGCGACGAAGGGCTCGACGAGTAAATTAAACCATAGACACAGCCCTCTGAGTATCTCGCCGGATCTTCTCAGTGGGTCGCGTTTCCGATCCGGTGGTAGATTCTGCGAAGCACTGCTCTTGCTAGGGCCAGTGTTAGCAACACTCCAGTTAGAGCCCCGTGAGCTCATAGTACACGTCAAGAAGAAGCTGAAATAGCCTCTCAAGGCTATCAGCATAGGCAGGGAAAAAAAGGATAAAAATAAGTGAAAGATAGAAAAGGAATTATAATGCCGCTTAGACTTGGAGAGTTATTTCATTTTTGGCTTACAGATCTACTTAGTAGATGACTCAATGACCTCACTTTGAGACGGTATCAATGTGAAGAACGTCATCTTTGTTTAGCAAAAACATGTACCAGAAGCACAGGAACACTAAAAGGTATATCGAACATTTCTATAGATTAGCGCCACCTATGGTTGACTAGGAAGTACTATTTGTTCTAAAGTTATTATCGCTTCCCACTTTAGTTTTTCCATCCTATTAAAGTAATCACTATACATATAATCACAAGTCACCAGGCCTAGTCATAGATAATGCACTTAATAATTGAGGCCCTAATGCTAAGTAGACCGCGAATTCATCTACTCGTATAAAATATGAAAAACATAATTTTCGACAGGCCACGACTTGGCTTTGCCACTGGCATTATTGCTTTTAAGTCCTAGTCACTTGAAAAATCAATATCATTACACAGCATCACTACATCACTACATAGTATAAATCAAAGTAGCTTTCTCTGTCCCTATATCCCTATGTATGTTTAAATCTTTAAAACTACGCAACGGATTTTGATCCGGTTTTTTTTTAATAGATAGAGTGATTGAAGAGGCAGGTTTATATGTATAACAACATCCATTAAATAGTAGAGAAACCAATAATAAATTACAGTTTCCGAAGCGAAGCGAGGGCGGGTCGCTAGTATTATTATTATATACGGAACATAAAAAATCTTCATACTTTAAGATTGTTGATTTCGTTTCTCATTTTATCATTCGAACCCTTCTCTTTCCTACCTCATCACCGGTAGATTCGGAGGGCTATGCTGGCTTCTCCGGGCTGGTAGGATTTTTCATTCGACCGACCGAGTAGCGCGATATACCTCACCTCAAAATAACCCCAAAAACGTAACAAGATAACATAAACATAAGGATACTAAACGTTTATTTCTCTAAGAAGTTCACATCGTGGTTGACTTCGAGAGTTATCTACCTAAAAACTTCCATCTAAAAATAAATTAAATACTTCTCAAGCAAAAACGGTTAGCTAGCTCGTTTAATAAAAAAAAAGATTAATATTATTGTTATTTATTTAAACATATATTTATACGCACGGTTAATTTCTGCGATCAAACAATTCGTGCTTTAAAGAAGATTGGACGACTATTGTAATTACAAAATTAATTATGTGGTGTCGTGGGACACCAGGTAGGAACGAAGTTCCTTCGGCTAATGTAGAATCGACACAATTTTCAAAAAAAGAAATGGTGCTCAATTTCATGTAGGTTTTCTTGGTTTTTCTCTTAAATTTTGCAGATTAGTTTTTATTTAAGTACGGGAAAGTATTTAGGAAATTCAGTATTTTAGGAAATAATAAATTACGTAAAATAAAAAAAATAGTAATTCAAATTATCAATTAAAATAATAAAATATATCTCTTTATTTTTGGTTGACAACATAAAAATACATAGAAATAGAAATAATTACTAAATAGAGAGAGAAGGGATTAGAGAACGAAAAGAAAGAAGGAGAAAGAGAAAGATATTATACACTACTCGCTTGTGTATGCGACTGTCGCGGGTCGCGCCTGCGCACGTCTCATTTAACGGTTTTATTCCACGCACTTTTTTCCACGGATTTTTTCTTACGGTTTTTACTATCACATTTTTTTCAGTTCGGTCGCGCAGCAAAATCCCTATCCCCTCCAAGCCTGCCGTAAGGAACTTCGTTCCAAAAGGTCAGATTTACTACATTCAAAGTAAGTTTTTTGTTGAGTTCCTTTGTTTGGAACTCCCTCGAAAGAGGCGCAAATACTTGTGTCACAGAAGAATCTACTTAGTCAGTACCAAGAGAACATAAAAGCCAAGAGATACCAACGATGTGACACTTGTTGCGTTACTCCTCCTATTGAGTTACTCAGACCACACTAGGAAAGGGATAGCGAAACTATAGTACAGAGCCATCTATGAAGCTTTTCGAGAACGGCAGAATTTAAATTTCTTTAATGTTTTTTCTGCGATGACAAGTTAAAATGGAGTATTAAATTCTACTTTGATTAGTTTATTTTTTCAATACATCGTACGAAAAACAAATAATTATAAATAATAACAAATTTAACCGCTATTTTTTATTGTTACCCAGACAAATTGGTAATTGGCAATAATATTCAAAGAGCGATCGAAAGCAACTAGCGTAGTTCGTAGCCAGCTACCAGGAGGCTATAAGTTTATAAAGGTGGGCTTTAGAAAATGCTAACGACGCCAAACACCCAGGAGAATATAAAATATGAGGAAGTTTACACTCGCGTAAGGAAGAGTTTATTAACAGGTACTTAATTTAATAGCTATTAGTCACAAATCAGCGTCCGAGGTCGGTCGTTTTTAAATGTAATTATTGTCTTTGACGTAAACCAAGTAATAGCAGTATTATTTTGATTTGATTTGACATATAACATTACATAAAATTAATTATTAAGTATGATGTAAAAATAATAAAAAAAAACAATGGTAAAATGGGCTGGTTCTGCTTAACTAATATTCTAACAGGAGCACAGGAATGAACACAAGTGAACACAATGATGGTGTATTTCCACGCAGACCTATAAGGTCCTGCCTAGTACGGTACCTACTCAAAACGAAAATTTAGCTTTTTTTTAAGTGATTTTATGACCTGGTAACTAAGACCTTTAAGTCATATCTTATTCTAATTTATATTCTTATTTTTGTGACAAATGACAATATGGAGTGAAATGAAATGAAATGAAGATGATTAATTTGAGACATTAATCAACTGGGATGAAATTAAATGAAATGAGATGATTAGGGATGAAATAATCTCAGTAAAATGGTGGTCATTTATGAAGATGTTTTCAGTGGACTTTTTGAAGGAACCCGAGAAGTTACGTCCAGCGGCTTTGTTTCATTTTCCCACATTTGTGGACTTTCACAAATATTAAACAGTTAATAAACCACCTACACATTTAAACCTGAAGAAACACTAAATAGGCAAAATAAAATAAATCACACAACTTCACTCTTCGCGTTCCCGCCAAAAAGTCCTTTCAGGTTTGTAGTGTAAAATCAGCTGGAAATATGATATCTAAGCAGATATAGTAATATAGTAGAGACGTACATACACAATAAGGTAAGAATCTTTAGTACTTATAAATTAGTTCCATTAAACTTTCAAATGTCAATCTCACGTACGCTGCGCAAGTTTAGACAACACTTAACTACTCGTGTTTATGTGATCTTGGTACTTGTTTTTGTTTATTCATTTGCATGGCTGTGGATATTTTCTTTTCTACACGTAGGACCCACTTATTACTGTGGTAGGACTTCATGTGAGTCCGCACGGGTAGGTGCCACCACCCTGCCTATTTCTGCCGTGAAGCAGTTATACGTTTCTTCTTTCTGACGAACGAAATGTGGCCGATTGCGTAGTGTTAGTATGTACTAAGCATGCCTACCTGCTACCTTGCTTAGACGGCCAATTTCCAGGTATCAGGTACTCAAGGTACATAAAATCATGAAAGCTGATTTTAATATATGTCCACCAGACAACTATTTTAAAACCTCTTACAAAAAGACTGAGAGCCTTGAGAGGCTATTTCAGCGTAACCTTAATTAGTAGGTGAGCTCACGGGGCTCAAACCTGACGACGTTGCTAACACGAACCCGAGCAAGAGCCGTGCTTCGCAGAATCTACCACCACCACTACCACTGAAAAGATCCGGCGAGAAACTCAGTGGGCTGTGTCTGTGGGTTAATTTACTCGTCGAGCCCTTCGTCGCAAACGACGAGTTCGACGAGAACGATGACCGGTGCTTGAGGTACCTAAAAGCATCGTTAGTGAATCGGGAGGATCCGAAATGACGTGTTTTGGGCGACGTCGACTGCTTTCCATTCTGTCCGCAGGATCGGGACTGGTAAGTACGAGGCGAAAGACATTTAATTTATACTTTCAGTTTTTCGTAACCCTCCCTTCCAACGAATATCCTAACATTAGCGCTTTGGGCCATTTTAAAAATAAAATTAAAACCACCAAATAAATAAACGAACAATAATGTAATTTCCTTCAATTCTCCCCGACAGTTTGTCTTTTGAGATCCTCGCTCATATCTTTATCTCCCCAGCCCCACAAACCAGTTCCGTCTCCCGTCTTTCTAGCTCGGCTCTCGGCAAGACTGACAGGCACTGACTTCAGATCATAGGCCCAACCTAACCAAGCGAAAAAATCTATGAACATGGTCGTCAGATTCAAGTAATTGTTCCCAAGCTCTGCCGTCCTATAGTCCCAAGGAAACACGTGGTGATAGTTGTGGAATCCTTCTCCGAAAGCCATGAATGACACGAAAAGATTTTGCGTTGGCAGAATCCGTTTGTCGTAAGGCTTGTACCCCCAGATGTGCGCAGCGCTGTTCACTAAGAATGCCATGTGGAGCGTAATGATGTATCTCAGTATTGTGATATGCCAAGCATTTTTGAAGGACTCCCCCCATAAGTACATCGGTAGGAGAGTGGGGATAACAAAACAGATGGTTCCCGTGATCGGTATTGCGTATCTGGAAGTAGAGTTTTTGTTATAAACAGAAATTTCCGTTTATTCTATTGTCATGTAATCGTCAGCTTTTTTGAAAATGACGTGTTTTTTTTTTAATTCTTATAACTCTTATAACATTTTTTTTTTATTGTCCTTGTAGGTAGACGAGCATACGGCCCACCTGATGATGAGTGGTTACTGTGGTACATGGACGTCAGCAACGACAGAGACAAAGCGAATCTGCTGCCTAATGTTAAGATTCTCTACAAGCCTCTTTTGAAGAAGGAGATATCATAGCGCTCGGGAAACACCGTAGAGGGGAGCTCATCCCAAAGCCGGACGGTACGTGGAAAAAAAACTCTGGAAGCGCACTGTGGATGAACGGAGTGGCTCCAGGTAGTCTACCCCGGTGGCGGGCGGTGCGGTGATATCATCTCAAACATTTTTTTTTATTGCCCTTGTAGACAGACGAACATACGGCCCACCTGATGGTGAGTGGTTACCGTCGCCCATGGACTTTAGCAATGCCAGGGGCAGAGCCAAGCCGCTGCCCGCCTCTTAATACTCTCCACAAGCCTCGTTTGAAGAAGGACATGTCATAGCGCTCGGGAAACACCGCGGAGGAGAGCGCAAAATTATAATTTGTGTAATTACTGGTGGTAGGACCTCTTGTGAGTCCGCACGGGTAGGTACCACCACCCTGCCTATTTTTGCCGTAAAGCAGTAATGCGTTTCGGTTTGAAGGGTGGAGCAGCCGTTCTAACTATACTGAGATCTTAGAACTTATATCTCAAGGTGAGTGGCGCATTTACGTTATAGATGTCTATGGCCTCCAGTTACCATTAACACCACGTGGGCTGTGAGCTCGTCCACCCATCTAAGCAATACATAAATAAATAAAACCCAGAAGCTCCAAATGATCCGTGAGAATGGGATTACCGACAATGCGAACGGCCCTTTTCTGTATGATGTCAAATGGAAGTCGCTTGGTACTTGGATTATACCTATTATACCTGTGTATATAGTATATACTATAATAACATCTTATAACTGTTTGCTCAGCTCTTGAGTTATTACCGAGATCTTCCAATAAAAACATTAAAGTAAATTCACAACTCACTTCTTCTGAAACATCAAGACCCGATTACTGTAAATATCCGACATATCTAAGGATCTCCCTCTCCTCTTAACTTCAGGGTGTTTCTTTACCAATAACCATCCCATATGTGAGTAGAAGAAGCCCCTCGTGGCATTATGCGGGTCGGCATCAGTATCGCTGTACTTATGGTGCAATCTATGATCTCTGATCCAATGTACGGCTGAATTTTGGTAGGCAAAACTGTAGAATAACATGAGTAGGATTTGTAGGGGCATTTTGGCTTTGTATGTCCTGTGGGTCCACAGGCGGTGTGCTCCGGCTGTTACTCCAAATCCTGCTAACACTGCTATTATGTAACCTAAAATATCAATTCAGAAATTTATTACATAAACCAACAGATATAGAATAGGAAAGCACGCGAAATTTCTTATAACGTATGGTATTGTTACGCCGGCAAGAGTAACGCCATCGATCGCCGAATAGTCGAACGAATATCGAAGGATCTAATAGCATCTAGAATGCTCGAGAAGTACAACGCCATCTATTGCCAGATAGCGGAAACATACAATACTAGAATTTTGTGGAATATTCTCGACGATTCTAGGGATTTCGTCTCGACTATAAAAGCGTTGCAGAGATGGCACGCAGTCGGTCAGTAATCGGAACTACTCGAAGCGAAACTGCGACCGGATCACCTGAAGCGAAGCGAAAGAAGCGAATTGAGAGTTTTAAATTGTTTGTTGAGTGTTTTAGGTGTTGAATACAGTTTTTAGTTGTACTTTGGTAGAATTTTATTTATCCCGAACCCCAGTGCGTAAGGGCGAATTTACATTGCGAAATTAGTGGCATGAAATTAATTTCGTGACATTACTATTACCATCAGTTTCACGTGTAATTGAATATTTTCGTAATGCATGCATGAAATTAGTTTCGTGCCCTGCGCGATTTTTTTTATTAAATCAGTGTCATGCAACTAATTTCATAGTGTAGACGCGACTCAGCGCGATCAAGTATATGAGTTTCTCCGCGATAATCTCATCGACATCCTTCTGGTGCAGGAGACCTTCCTAAAGCCCTCGCGTCGCGACCCCAAAGTCGCGAATTACGTCATGGTTAGGAATGACAGACTCTCCGCCCGCAAGGGCGGGACTGTCATTTACTATAGGAGGGCCCTGCACTGCGTCCCTCTCGATACTCCCTCGCTCTTACATATCGAGGCGTCAGTGTGCCGCATCGCGCTGACGGGACACCAGCCGATCGTCATCGCATCCGTTTATCTCCCCCCTGACAAACCCCTCCTGAGCAGTGACCTCGAGACACTGTTCGGTATGGGGGACGCGGTCATCCTGGCAGGCGATTTAAATTGCCACCACACTAGGTGGAACTGCCATCGCACGAATGTGAACGGTAGGCGTCTCGACGCGTTCATAGACGACCTCACATTCGAAGTATTCAACCCCCCGACCCCCACGTGCTATCCGTACAACGCCGCGCGTCGTCCGAGCACAATAGATCTGGCACTGCTGAGGAACGTAACTCTGCGCTTACGCTCCATCGAGGCAATGTCAGAACTCGACTCAGACCACCGACCTGTCGTCATGCAGCTCGGTCGCCCACTCAACCGCGAACCAGATACGAGGACCATGGTGGATTGGAAGAAGCTGGGCACGTGCTTAGCTGACACCGCTCCACCAATCCTCCCTTGCGGCCCGGATTCAACTCCATCCCCCGAGGATACCGTCGAATCCATAAACATCTTCACTGATTTTCTGATTCTAACGAGGTCCCTAAGATCGGGGGAAAGTCTGATGCGGTGGAAGCAGTCCTCCACATCGACTTGTTTCGAGGATCTTATGATCGCCGTCGAGACGTG